ATCTCCTTGACGAACTCCTCTTTTAGACATAATCCAACTCCCTATTTTACCATTTATGTTTAAGGCAGACATGCCATTATTTAAACATAATTTTATCCAATTGATCCATCTAATACCAAAACCTTTGGCTTTCAATACTTCCAGAATAAAATTCCAGTCAAGCATATCATAGGCTTTCACAAAATCTAGTTTTAAAAGAATCCCTCCCTTTCTTTTATTATGAAAACAATCATTAATGATTTCCTGGGCTACCACCACCCCATCCAGGAGAAATCTATTTTTAATAAAGCCAGATTGCACAGGATCAATAAGCATCTCAAGCTTTGAATTCAGTCTATTAGTAAGGACTTTGGTGATAATTTTATAAATCACATTAAGAAGACTGATGGGTCTGAAATCATTGATTGAATAAGACTCACTTTTTTTAGGGATAAGAACAATATGAGCATAGTTAATTCTGTTAATTTCAAGTCTACCTTCATAAAATTCCTCAAACAACAACATAATATCATTTTTCACAGTGTCCCAAAACACTTAATAAATAAAGCAGGGAAGCCATCAGGACCAGGAGATTTATCCCCATTCATGTCAAAAATAGCTTTATAAACTTCTTCCACTGAAAAAGGATGTTCAATATCATTGGAACCCCAGTCTGAAAAAGGGAAAAGTTTATGCCAATCAAGTTGACATCTATTAGAGACATTTTGACCATAAATCTGACTATAATGGTTAAAGAAAACCTGAGCAATACCTTCCTCAGAACTAACTTCAACATCATTAAAAGTAATAACTGGAATCAAATTACTTCTTTTTCTGCCATTGGCAATTTTATGAAAATATGCAGTGTTCTGATCACCCTCCTTAAGCCAATGAGCTTTAGCCCTTTGCTTCCACATTTGCTCTTCTTGAAATAAAATTTCATTCAGCTGAGCAGAAACATCATCTTTTTTTAATAATTCATAGTCTGTTAAATCTCTGTCTTCCTCTAACACCTCCCATTTCATAAGCTCATCTAACAAGTCTTTTTTTCTGTCTAACACTATAGAATTTTAAATGAACCCACTGTTTAATGCACTTCCTCATAAATCTTAATTTGCCTACTAAATTTTTAGCAGCAGATAAAGATGAAGGAGCACATCTCCACCATATAGGAACACTCTTAATAAAATCATCAGATTGTAACCAAATCTTCTCAAATCTGAATTTATAATCAAAGTGTTGATTATCCCCACAGTCAAAACTGATGAGAGCATGATCAGATAATTGACTACATAAGCCTTGTTGTTTTGAAAAGGGGAAAGCATCCTCCCACTCAGAGTTGAAAAAAACTCTGTCAAGTCTAGCCATAGAGGGGAATCTTCTTTTATTTGACCAGGTAAATTTTCTACCATGTAAAGGGCTATTAATCAACTCTAATTCATTGAGAACATCATTAAAATCTTCTATTTCTTTTCTATAAATGCTTTTACCTTTTCTATCATTAGGATTGGAAGTAACATTAAAACCCCCTACCACAACCCAAGGACCAGGGAAATTATCTTTAACAGATTTAAGCTCCTACCAAAAAAGATGTCTCTCACTGTTACAATGTGGTCCATAGACTGAAGAAACAGTCCAAATAAACTCATTTTTTTTGTTTTGTAAAACCACTGTTAAAACACAATTGCCAGATCTCTCTTGTAAACTCCTCCATTTAAGAGTGTTCCATCCAACCAAAATACCACCAGAAGTTCCTTCAGCCGGCACACAAGCCCAGTCAAACATGTTACCCCCTAAACTTTTAAGAACATTATCAGAAATACAATTCAACTTAGTTTCCTGTAAACAAATAATCTCAAATTTGTTTAAATGACAAAAATCCTTAACCCCAAATCTTTTGGTACTCAAACCTAATCCTCTCACATTCCATGTAATCAACATATCAAACAAGTAATATCTCCCACAGGAAATAAATCCAGAGCCTACACATTGGTAGCTCTTTCCACCTCCATTTGCCTTACTTTTTTTAAAGGATCAAAATCCTCTTGAGGCTCAAGAACAATGGCACATTTAGAAGCAAACTTCTGCAATTGATTATTAGAGCAATTATCAAACAAAATAGGCACAAAAGAAGAACCCAATGAAGTAGAATTATCACCTGAACCACTGGTAGAAACTCCATGAGATTCATAATTCTTAGCAATCCTGGATGTAGCTCTGGCCAATGCCGTCATAGGTTCAAGATCAACAAATCTGGAACATCTTCTAACAAAAGATACTTTTGGAAGTGAATCCTCAGGAGGCAAAGAATTCAGAGGCTGAATCATGGGAATTTCATCTTCCTTCTCTGCATTATCTTCAATAGAATCTGGAAGAAGGGAAATAGGCCAATTGATTATATCATGATCTTCATTTAAAATGAGGGCTTTGCCTTTATCTTCATCAATTTCTTCCTCCCCATCAACCCCTGTAAATTCCTCATGTTTAAAATCACCATCCAAATCCTCATATTTGTGTGTAAAATCCTCAGAACTATTCTCTTGTTCACAAAAATCTGCAGCTAAAACCATCACTTCTTCCTTTTCTGGGAATAACTCTTCACCATCTAAAACATCATGCTTATGTGTAAGAACTTCAAATCTGTTCTCTTGTTGATCAGAATCTACATCTACAACCTTCACATCTATCTTTTCTAGAATTTGCTCTTCCTCACCCAATTGAGTCTTATTATCTGCCCAAGGTTCCCAAACAGTTTTTTGTTTTTGATAAAAATTCTTAGCATTTGTCCAAAGCCTGGCAGCAGGAGAACCCCATGGAGAATCTCTCAGATCTTGTCTAACAGTCCAGGAGGTATTTGCAGACTCAATATGAGAAGAAGAACCAGATCCACTATTATTTCTTCCTTTAAACCATTTGTCATTATATGAACTTTGAAAAGTATCTTCCACTTGGTCCACCTTTTGTTTTTTCTTATCTCCTTCACTAATCTCACCAATGACAGACATAATAGCTATGTCTACATTGTATTGATTTTTTCCCACAAATATTTTTAACATTTTAGGAATGTCTATATACTCCAAGCATTTCACCAAGATAACTGCATCAACAAACTCTGTACATGCACTTGTAAGAGAGTCAAGTTCCACTAGATCTGCAAATGGTTTGACCATTAACTCAAAAGATTCCTTATTCCACAAATGTGGAGGAACATTCTTCAATTTAATCCAGACACAGGAATTTCTTTTTTCCACAACATTTCCTTCCCATGCACTCCATCTCCTGAATTTAATCTTGCACGATCTTAAAGTAATAACTCCCATCTTAATAAGATCTTCCATTTGCTTCCATGGTTGGATTTTCACTAGAACTTCACCATTAGTAAACAATCTAACATCCCAGTGTTTATTCATAGGAAGAAAGCTCTAAGATCCAGTTCTAGTCTTTCCAAAGAAACATTACCACCCTCAACAAATGAAACTATAGCAAAATTTCTAAACTTTTGAAAGCCAGAGTTTACCTCCTCCTCGAAATTAAGGACAGCTGCAGAAAAACGAGGGCGCTCACCAGAGATTTTGAGCTCTGCTTCCAAATCTCCAAAGTCCCTAGGACCTTGATCTTGAAAGATTAAACAAGATTCTTACAATTTTTCCTCATCAACAGCAAAGAGAGGCCTTTTCCCCTTATTATGAGGGGGATTATCCGAAGATTTCTCAACATTTCTTGAAGAAGAAAAGGAGGATGTCGCTCTCTTCCATTGCCAAGGGTTCGAGCGATCAGATCTCCCAGGATGACCACCAAAGCGTCCACCACTACCTCTCCCACCAAAAGAATTCCGACCTCCAGAATTACGACCACGGCCTTCAAAATTCTGACCACGACCACCATTAAAATGACCACGACCACCATTACCACGCCCTCTATTCTCAGATCCATGATTCATGATTCCAGATCTACAATTTCTCGCCTCATGCCCCGATTCTTGGCATCTGAAGCAAATCACAGGATCTCTGCAGTCCTTCGCCATGTGATTTGAACCTCCACAGCGAAAACACAGTCTATTTCGACGAATAAAATCTGCAGAAATAAAACGAGGACGAGGAACAACGGAGAATTTGGGAGGAGGCTGAGATCTAGGGTTCTTTTTCACCACTTTAACCCACTCGCCTTCATCTTCCGTCGTTGGTTTGTTTTGATTGTCAACCTCAAAGATCGCAGCCGCTGGATTAAACTCAACCTGAGTATTTTTATTAACCCCAGTTTCTTTAACCCTAGTTTCCAAACTGGGCTTGGGCTTGAACAAAGAATCAGAAAAAAGAGATGGATTGGACTCACCCCAAATCATTTTTGCTACAAAATTAGTAGTCTCAACTGGGCCAATCAAAAAATCCGAAAAAACTCTAGATCTATCCATACTATAAATCTTTCTTCTTCTTTTTTTTTTGAAAAAGAAAGAAAGCAATCACCTCGAAGCTGAGATCAAGAAATCAAAGATAAAAAAGGATGAGATTCAAACCTTAGATCAAACAACCCTAGATTTTTGATGGACTTCTTTCTCTTGAGGATGGCTCTTGGAAGTTCAATTTACAAAAGACCGACTAAAGTACCATATAGTTGCCCTTACTTTGCACTTATATACCCCGGATCATTTTTAGCAGCAGTTATATACCCTAAAGTGTTCAAAATTTGCACTTTGATACCCTCATTTGTGCAAACACGAGGATTCCCCCTCGAAAATTCTCATGTGATAATCATGTGCTAATTGTAAAATATTTTAACTTTTGTTAAATTTACTATAAAGCCTATTAAAATCTTATTTATAAATAGAATTATGATAGGTTTAAAATAGAATTATAGTAGTTTTAATGGTAAAAGAAATTAACAAAAAATATAAGTTAAAAGTTCTAAAATTAGAATGTGGGCGTTGCATGAGAATTTTCGTAGGGTGATTACATTAATTGAGCGTATTTAAATGCAAAATTCAGAGACTTTAGAGCATATAAGTGCTGTAAAACACGTGCAAGTATTCTATCAGAACACTCCATAGAAAAGGGTGGTCCCATCAACGGTTAGTATAGTTTGGAATACAAGTCTTCTATTTATGGTATAGATCATCTCGCTCCTATAGAGATGGTTCTCATAAAATTCCTACGGGTCAAAAACAAGTTAAGATATATAAGTGGAAATTAGGGGAAACTTCTGATATGTAAGTGTGATGCAAGTGCAATTAAGCCTTCTTTATTGATCTAGGGGAAACTTCTGATGGTAGTGTGATGTAAGCGCAATTAAGCCTTCTTTATTGATCTTTCCTCTTACAACCGTATCGAGCCGCCGCATCCAGATTCCAGGGACTTGTTGATCTTGACCCACCGCAGGAGCCAATTTCTCCCATGCTTCAATCAGCATGCTATGTCATTCCTTTTGGTTTAATTGCACATAAACACCTCTGTAATATTCTTGTTTTGAACTTATTATTTCTCCGGTTTCATCGTTGTCGATATATCCGTGGGTTAAATTCTGACTCTTTCACCCGCAGAAGAACTCATTAATTTCACCTAGAGGCATCTGTCAAAATTTCACCAAGAATAAAAGAATCAGAAAATTTTAACCCAGATGGTCAAAGCTGCAACAATGCAATTACGGGCTAGTAAGTTCAAAAATAACCATGTAGAGGTTTATGAGCAATTAATATATTATTTTCCCTAAACCAAGAGTTCAGTTTATATGGGTCTTTTTTTCCCCCACATCAATTCAGAACAAAATATATCGGAGATAACAAAAGAAAGAAAAAAAAATTTGAAAATATACAAATATTAAGATCAAGATCAGGAAATGACAAAATATATGCTAAAGGTAAAGAACCATAATGGAACAAGTCCAAAAGAAAAATAAGAAGTGAAATATAAAAATCTCATGAAGGTCGATAAAATAAAGGTCCAGATATGGGAGGTCAAGTTTAGTGGTTTGTCATGACAATGTCTTTCTCCGCCTCTTCCCTCTTCGGAAGATGAAATCTGAACCAGGCTATGAGCCAAGACTGTCCATTATCGCCATCAAATGATCGTTGAGTGTGGATGCATGCGAGGTTGAAGCAATCGCCTCTAATGATCTAAGTATTGACGCTTCTTAATTTATGACGTACGTGCTACAAAAAGACAGTTGCAATGGTTGGAGGAGCTTATTTTTAGAAGCTTTTAAGCTGCGTTATAGCTGTTGATTTATAGAAAATTTTAAAACATGTACAAGTAAAATAATATTTTGCTTGATTAAACCTAGATTTCAAACAAGCTTTAATCCCAAAATTTTCAAATGAACTCACAAGCAAACTTGTTTGAAATGTTACCAAACAGATCGATACGCAAAAGGTAGTTCAAAAAGCCACTTGGAGGATGAATATATGTGCATGATTAACTACATTGGTATTGACGTTCCAAGTCTGTTCGGAGACATCCATTAAATTGGATCGCCGTGGAGAAGATTAGCATGATCTCGGCGCAAGGATGATACACACAAATCCAGAAATAAAATTGACATTCTTTATAACTTTTATTGAGTTATGTATCAAACAAACAAGCCGAATTATTGTATTTTAAGTTTTTCTTCTCCTTGAACCTTCCCAAACTCAAATTTCTTCTACGCCTTTTAAGATTTTTCTTTCACCTTCTCTTTCATCAATATAGCCTCTTTTTCTCCTGCAACCTCCCCCTTCAAATCCAAACCGTAATCCCAATCATTAAATTGCGCGTTCAGATTAGGGTTTGAATTTAAATTTTGGATTAGGGTGGTTTTAATTGGGAGAGGTTGAAGAAGGAGGGGCTCCATTGATGAGAAAGAAAAAGATAGTGAATGAAGGTCATTGGGTAAAAGTATAGAAGAAATTTGAGTTTGGGGAGGTTGAAGGAGAAGAAACGTGTAGAATACAGTAAACTTAAGAGGTCAGGAGGATGGAAGAAATTTTCCTAGCAATTCTCGCCTAAAAAATAAATGCCAACAAGTTTCTGTACCTAATTGTCAATTTTTACACACTTTAAATATCAAAAAGATGCCGGAGTGTTTTTAAATGACAAATTGGTAAATGAGGTTTATTATAAATACCCATCTAGTAATTTAGCTGATTAATTAATAACTAGAAAAAGTGGAGGACTAGGTCTTGGACCACTAACTAGAAGAAGTAAAAGTTCCATTAAAATCAACTATAGCTTCTACAAAAACTATACATACATCCCACTCATTTGTCTAATAAAAGCTTCAGTCTAGAAACTTTTTCTGTATGCGGCAGAATGATAGTGAAATAGAATAATTGAGTACTGTCTAATTGAATATGTACAAGAAAAGGAATGTGAATTTCAAGTGATTTGTCTTTATCAGAGTGAAACAGCTCTCTCAACAAATGGTGGTGAATTTTTTATTTAATAGATGGGTAACATAGTGACCTATGGAGTCAGTAGTGGGCTATCTTTAGTCTCGGGGTAAATGGCACTTATACACCTCATTGTTTCGCTCTTGTAGCAGTTATATACCCTAAGTTACAAAACATAGCAAAAAAAACCCCGAGTTGGCTAAAATTTACAAGTTGGTACCTTCTGTTAACCAATCGTAAGAATATTCTCTAGAATATTCCCACGTGTTAGACATATGACCAACTTGAATGCTTCTTACTCTTATTTACTGTAGTATTTACTATATTACCTACCCCCCCCCCCCCCCCNCCCCCCCCCCCCACACACAAAAAAAAAGTTTATTTTCATCATCATCATCTTCTTTTCATGGTCTCCAACTTCTTCTTCCTCTTTATCTTTTACAGGTGAAAGAAAATGAAGCTCTCCTCGTCTAGAGCTTCAAGTGGGTCATCAAGCTATGTTGTTGGTGAAGAGAAGGAAAACCATGTATGTAATAACAACCCGACTGAAAAATAATTTTTAACATCATAATTGAATTTTCAAACGATACTGATTCAGTAAAAAAAGATGAAATTTAAATATAATATCCAAAGCTTCAAGTTTTACCCTGAACTCAAAATTTAACTAGTCAACTCCCCATGCTTAATCGTAAAAGCACAAAATTTTAACCAGTCAATTTCCCATGTTTAATCACAAAAGCTTCATAAATAGATTTTTCAACATATGAACACGCTTAGCTATGTGTGCAGATGATTGGAGATGAAATATTACCAAAATAGTACAATTTGGTTGTAATGTAAAATTCAATAAGCGGAAATTGCTCCAAAATTAGAAGATTAGATGTTTTTAATGTAGGAATCATGAAGTTTAGCCTAATTAACCCTAGAAACTTTTATTTCAGGCTAATCGTCGAAAAAAAACCACACAATCTAATGCCGAACAGGGGTAAGGGACTAACATCGACAATGAGCCAAAGATTGAGAGGAGCTTGCTAATGTACGTGGATCCTCATGACGAATTGCTCCGGTATCGGTTCTTCTCTTTTGTCAATGAATTTGAGAAAGCACGGGCTCCTGATTTCTGCAATCTCAAGTTCATGTTAAGAGAATTTTGGGGAGATTTTGGAGAGAATAGGGTAACAATAGAAAATAAGAATTTTCACTATGGG